ATTATTGGACGATTTAATTATATTAGGCTCGTGAGCCTTTATATTGGGCTCGCGAGCCATATATTAGGCTCGAGAGCCCAGCGAGCCCTTAAGGCTCATGGGGAGCTTTAATCAATATCGTACTAAATTCGTGACTTAATCATAATATTGTTGATCACCAGCCAATAAAAGCTAAAATGCATATTGATAGGATTAATAACTTGATGATTTAACGCACATTATTACATACATTTTTATTCGTTTTATTAATATAATCAAAGTGGATACTAAAGCTTTAACGACAAATTTCACCAAAATTACAAGTGATTACACTACGATAAAATCGCTTAAATGTAAAAAATGCAGGTTTGTCCATTTTCTTCATTATTTCTTTTTGATCTTTTTTTGAACGCATTTTCATATTTTCATTCATTCATTTATTTACTTACATTTTTTATATAATAATATATATATATATATTATTTTTTTAATAAAGACGCACAATAATTACATCAGATAACTTTGTCTCTCATATACAAGGACGAGGACAATCTGATTTTTCTTTTAAAAAACGTGATCTTATAGATAATTCTACAAAAAAGATTATTCTCAATAACAAGATTTCCAAATCATTATCATCTACTTTAAATAATAATAGTATTGATAATAATAATATTAAATGTACATCATATTTTATTGAACAAATGGATTGGATAATTAATGATTCTAAACCAGATGATGATGATAATAATAATAATAATAATGAAGAAGAAGAGATTGGAGATTTAGATGGAAAGATCAATTGTCCAAATTGTAAATTCAAATTGGGAAATTATAGTTGGGCTGGTAAATATATTAAATATATGTTATTTTTCAAATTATATATATATGCGTAATATTTAATTTTTTAACTAAAAAGTTTTATATTTATTAATTTATATAGGGATGCAATGTTCTTGTGGTACTTGGGTTACTCCTTCATTTGCTATTCATAAAGAAAAGGTTGATGAAGTATATTCATAATATAAAAATGAAATAATTTTTCTTTCTCATTGCTTATTTTTTTTTTTGGATTGTATTTATTTAGATTAAAAATATTTAATTCAATTAATTAAATTGATTTTAATTGTGTCTCAAAATATATTATACTCTGTTGAAAATATTTATGCATATATAAGGATAATTTTTATTATATTTATAACCTTATAATATATTTAATTTTTCATATCCTTTAATTGTCTGACTGTTTAAATTGTTTAAATAATTTAAATAGTAATAAAGTTTGCTAATTTTTACTCGTACAATGTGGAGTCGCGTAATCTATGACACAATTTTCTCACATAATTGATTAGTTTGTAAAGGTTTTCATTACTAAAATAAATTTAGAAGTAACAATTAGTATTAATTCTATTCATATGAATGGGAAATGTGATATATTTTTATTATCAGAATAAAGTTCTAACTAAAAAATAAATTATCTCTTCTAGATATGATTTCTTTGAACCTAAATCTTCAAAACATGAGAATCCCCCCAGACCAAAGAACCCCATTTCGATTATTAGAACCAAATCTGAAAAATAATCTATGATGGTTAATTTAGTGTTACTAACAGTTCAGCTTGGTCTGACTTGAGATTTAAGTCATGCCAAACCAATATAAATTAAACCAAACCATGAAAGTTGATGGGGTTAATGGCATGACAAAACCAAACCGAAAGTTAATGGGTCAATGGGCATACACACTCCAATTTTTGACCTTTTGACAAGTGTAGATTTTAGATTTAAAAATGATGATACAATCAGAGTTAAGGCAGATTGAATTTTGGATTAGAAGAATTTGATGTGAACACGATTCAAACCAATCCAACCTACATATACAGAAGGGATCGATAATTATTATTACTTTTTATGTTTCAAATTTTACCATTCAATATATTCATGATTAATTATAGGAATCAAACTTAATGATTAACAATTTTTTTATAAAGTACTATGAGGATGTGCAATGCACGCTTAAAAATTTTTTAATAATCTTTTTTTTTTTAAAAAAAAAAAAAATATTTCTGTGTTCATAAATAGATATAAAAGTTCTGGACTTATAGATATTTTAAATTTGCTATATATAGGTATTTCGAAAATTCACAATTGTCTTTCTTTTAGTAATCACATATGTGTTATTGAAATATTAATATGTATATATGTATATAAAATAAAAATAATAATGCGATCTAATTAAATATATTACAATATGTCAAAAAGTATATATATATATATATATATATTATTTATTTATTTTTTTTTATAAGCCCGCTGCTTGAACTAAACTTTTTGCTTTATCCAAGACTTCGTATGCACATGAAGTATAAGGACTATCCACCCCATTATAAATTTTACAATTTTCAACCATTAATTTAATATCATTCATAAAATCATTGATAGAATTATATTCACCAGCTGAATTTTTCTATAATAAATAATAAATAAAAAATAATAAATAAAAAATAATAAATAAAAAATAATAATAAATAAAAGTTAATTAATGAATTAAAATGATTTTATCTCTTAAAAATAATAATATCAAATATGATGTACCTTTTCCATAGATGATAAATCTATTGGATTCTTTATAATTCCACTGTAATCAGGTGCTATTTTTGCTGTAACGGGTTGACGAAAAGGGTGAGCCTAATAAAATCAAAATATATAAAATAATAATGAGAAATAATGAAATAAATAATAATAGAAATAAATAATAGAAATAAATAATAGAAATATAAATAATTAAATAATAGAAAAAAATAAAAATAAAAATAAAAATAAATATAAATCTAAATAAATAAATCTAAATAAAATATACCGATTCCATTTCCCAAATCTTTTTTATTATTTCAGATATTACATCGTGTAGTGAAAATGTACGCTTTCGTTTTCTATCATTAGTAGAATCAACATCAGGAGCATAACGTTTGTGTTTTGAAGTTTCACCTATATCAAATAATAATAATAATAATAATAATTAATTTTTGTAATAATAATATAATAATAAAATGAATTTTTATATATCTTTTTATATAATCTTTATGATGAATAAATTTATACTCACTTGAAGATTTTGTACTCTTGTTTGACTGAGTCCCTCTATATAGAAGAAAATTATAAAATTCCACAATTTTAATAAATTTATTTATTATTAATTTTAAATTTAAAAAATAAATAAATATTTTTATCTCACTTTTCAGTTGATGGTTTAGTAATTATTGAAATTTTATTGCCACCCATTTTAACAATAAGTGGACCATTATCTGAAGGAATTGATGATCCCGAAGTTCCTGATGGTCCCGCCGTAGCAGAAGTAGTAGAAGAAGGAGGTTGAGGTGGAGGTGGACTTATAGATGTGTTATCAGCAATAATAGGACTTAATCCATATCGTGGACATTTTTTGTTTGTTTTCATATGACCTGTTTGTCCACAGTTACCACAACGTCTCTGAATTACAAATAAATTGTAAATAAATAAATTAGAAATAAATAAATTAGAAATAAATAAATTAGAAATAAATATGTTAAAAATATGTTAAAAAATTATATATGCAAAATATAAATGAATATGAATGTTTCTAATGTTACCGAAGTTTCTGTTTTCTTATCTTTCGGATTAGTTATAGTGACATTATTTTCAGTACTAGAAACCGCTGCTTTGGCTGCTTCACGAGCTGCCTTACGTTGTTGACGTCTTTCTTGATTTCTACGTAACTTAGCCAATTGATCTTCAATTCTTTTTTTCAATCTCTTATTTTTTTCTTCATCATTAGTTGGTTCTAATAATTCAGCACTAATATAAAATATTAAAAATTAATTATAATTGATCATGGTTAATTAATTAATTATAAATATTTATAAATAAATATCTTTATTTACCTCATGGCTTGTTCTTCAATCATTTGTCGATGACGAACGTATGCATTAATTACTGAAGAATCTGTGACGAGAGTTTTGGTCCACATGGGCTCTCCGCTTTCTGAACGAATCTTAAGAATATAATTAAATAAAGTTAATAAATTTTTTTTTTTAAATATTAGAGATATTAGAAATGTTAAAATATATATATATATATTAAAAATTTTTATAAAATTTAAGAATTACCAATCGATTAATCACTAATGCTCGATTACGATGAGAACTACATTCATAATTAGCTCTTGAACCAATGCTACCGTCAACCGAAACAACTTCGTCAAAATCTGCTTGAGAAGTTGGAGATTGTGATCGAGATACATCTTGATCAGGTATATTATCTTCTTGTATATATTCTTCTCTATCTCGCATTTCTGTATCACTATCAACTTCATTTCGTGTATTGGAGGTGGTAATTTGACTTCGTCGTCGTTGTTGTCCTGCTCCTGATTTATATTCGATCCTTTTCGTACCTGCGGAACTTTTCGTATTTATTGCATTTTCATCTCGCATACTGAGTGATGAAAATTGGGCATTCCATATTCGATAAATCTAATCGAATCAAATCGATTATATTTAATTTATTAAAAAAATTTAATTAAACCTAATATTATATATAAATATATATATATAGGGAAAATTATTTAAATTTATAAAGATAATTTACCTCTTGATTATATCTTTTCCATTGTTCCATGACATTATATTTATGACCACTTTTTGGTTTATTTTCAATTTCGGCTAATATAATAGAAATGTAAATATATTATATAAGAATATAATATAAATATAATTGCGTTATAAATATAATTATTAATATACCAAGTTTTTCTTGAACATTTTCTCCTGCCTTCAAAAATATATCTTTCATGGAAATTCTTATAAAACTGAATCCTTCCCCTTTTCCCGTGGGATCTCCTTCACCATGCAACTTAAGCATTGCATTTGTCTAATAATAAATTCGATATAAAAAAAATTCGGTATAAAAAAAAAATTCGATAATTTAATAATAAAAAACAAACTTTGGTGTATAAAGAAAAACTTACTTGTGTAGCATTAAGAAAGTTTCTTGTCGTTATCCAAGGAGCTAATTGTTGTTCAATTGCTAATTTTGATTCCTCTAAAGCTAATTTAGAGTCATCTGCCATATCTTCATTTACCCCTTCTTCATCAATAGTGGAAGGTTTATAACCAGCATCTGCTAAATGACGTTCTCCCACCATCATGCTTTCTTCTAAACATATCTATAAAATATAAAAAATAATAATAATAAAAATATTAATAATAATAATAATAATAATAATTATTATTATTATTATTTTTATTTTTATTATTATTATTTTTATTATTATTATTTTTATTATTATTATTATTATTATTTTTATTATTATTATTATTATTATTACTAGTAAATGTTATCATCATTGGTAAACGTTAAAATATCTAACCATTTCAGGAGTCAACATTTTTCGTATATCTACTTCATTTGGAAGACGAATAGAAGATTTTAATTTCCAAATTGGACCTTGATTTGGAGTACCTTTCTTACGAGCTAATTCAGCAAAATCCTATATATATATATATAAATATATATGAATGAATATGAATATTAAAATATTCAAAGATAATAATAAAGATGATGATGATAATAATAATAATATAAATATATAAATTACTTTAAGTCGCGTTCGAAGAAATATTTCATTATGATCAGGAAAACGTTTAGCTAATTTATCTTGAGATAATAAATGATGTTTATTTTTCCTCATAAGTCTATAAGCAGCTACTTGAATCCTATTATTTGCAGTAGTCTTTGCTTTTCTTGACGGTGGAGATGGAACTTCTTGCATAGGAAATGTTTGTCCAACTACAAAGAGGCATTTTATTTCACGCACATAATATTTTGTACGACCTTTATATGTATTTCTATATTATATTATATTATTATATTAAATTATAATTAATTTAATTATTATATTAATTAATTATTTTATTATTATATTCAATAAATTATTATTATATTAATTAATTTAAAAAAAAAAAATTACAAATCAAATTACAAATCAAATCACAAACCTAATTACTAAGAAATCGGTATCTTTAGAATCATGTCGGAAAAGAGGTGCCCTAATTAGATTATTATATAAAGAAGGTATAACTTGACCTCGTTCGACGTTTCCAAAATTCATAAAAGGTGATTCATCCATTACATCAAGTATAACTGGATCACCGATATCAAGCTAAATAAAATTAAACGAATTTAAAGAATTCAGATATTCAAATATATTAAATATTTCTTTCATATTAAAAATAGTAATATTAAATAAATCAAGTAACTTACCCGAGGAACGAATGAATCATTTGAATCCCTTTTTCGATAATAATTAAGAAGCAAACTTCCCATACCAACATTAGAAAGAATTGGAGGATATTCTTCCTATTTATATATTATATAAAAATAAAATAATGTTCGTTTCATGAGAGAATATTTAATAAAAATCTTTAATAACATTATTATTTAACATTATTATTATTGTTGTTGTTATTATTTAATTATCTTTAATTATTTACCGAATATTCCAACAAAACAAAATTATTATTCTCTTTTAATGATAATTCTTTAGGTTTTCGCATTACTTCACGAACTTTACGATTTTTCTTTTTTTTATGGGATTTTTTAATTCTACTAAAACGAATTTCTTGATTAAGAGGAAATTGTATTGCTGGTCGATGTGATGCTCGGATATCTGATTTAGTGAATTTTGTCTTAAACTAAATACAAATAAATTAAAATATTAATTAAAATAAATTAAAATAGTAATTAAAATATATTAATTAAATATTAATTAAATAAAAATATATTAATTAAAATATTTAATTAAAATATTAAATAAAAATTAAAAATTATGGATTAAATGTATAATTTATAAACTTACGTATTGAGGATGTAATTGAAGTGCGGGCAAAGAATGATGAATAAAAACTTGACCAGAATGTAATCTTCTGGTGAAATCCCTTTGTTGTTGTTGTTCATCATCAATATTCCATATACTAATTAAATTATCATCAACAGAAGCTGACCTAACATATTTTTCTGGTCCCAATGACTATAATTATTATTATTTTTTAATGAAAATTAATTTATTTTATTAATGAAATAAATAAAATAAAAATCTTAAAAAAGGTTCTTTTACTCACTATAGATTTCCTTTTTCTAAGTTTTTTGACAATATTTTGTTCTTTATTACATTTTGAATAAAAAAAAAATGAATAAAAAAAAAATTGAATGAAAAAAAAATTGAATAAAAATAAATGAAAAAAAAAAAAATGAATAAAAAATTAAATAAAAAATTAAATAAAAAATTGATACATAAAAGAAATTAATAAATAATAATAATAATAATAATAATAATAACAATAAAATATTTAACAAACCATGTATATCAAAATATGTATGTTGTATATTTTGAATATGTTGAATATTTGGTAAATCACTGTTATAAGAATAATTAAATAACATATTTGGATCATTCATATCTAAAGTCAATCTTGCAAATGGTGCTTGATCTTCATTTTCATCCCATAAAATTGAATTAAGCCATTCTCCGCTATCTAATTCTCGATTTCTATAACCAAATGTCATGGATGACTAATAATAATAATGATGATAATGATGATGATAATGGTGATGATGATGGAGATGATAATGGTGATGATAATGGTGATGATGATAATATTATTATTAATATTAATTGATCTAATTATATTATTTCCAAAACAATGCAAAATAATGTAAATAATGTAATATAAAATACTTGAGGTTTCTTTATGACAGGACTATTAAAAAAAAAAATATAATTATTTAATATAGTATAATATATTAATATAATATAATTATTAATATAATATTAATATAATATGTAAATATAATATATACATAAAATATAATTACTATTAACCTTATAGAATCTTCGTCATTATCGCTATCCCATGAAATATTATCTTCCCAAGTATTCATCATTATAGAATAATAAGTTTCAGGAAACTCTGGAATGTTCCATGATAAATTTTTTATTTCCGGTAAATTATAATCCAAATTACCCAAGTCATCAACCTAAATAATAATTAATCAATTATTATTATTATTATTATTATTATTATTATTATTATTATTATTATTATTATTATTATTATTATTATTATTAT